GGAAAATAGTGGGAAAATATGGGAAGCTGGGGGGAAGACGAAAACCCAGAAAATAGGCCGCATTCCCCCTTCCTCGGCCACGCGCGCAGGGCGTCGCGACGCGCGGCCCGCCGCAGCCCCCGACCGCGCCGCGCTCGCCGGCGCTGCGCCCGCGCGGCTCCGGCCTTGGGCAGGCCCTCCCGTCGCAGCGGTGCCCTCGTGGCCCGCGGCCTCCTGCGCGCGCGCGGCCGGCGTGCAGTGCCTCTTGGGGGCTCGGTTCGGCGTCTGTCGGCTGCCGCACCCTCTGCCAAGCAGTGGCGAGGCGTCCCGGCTCGCCTATATAGCCTTACCAAGCAGTGTCCCAAGAACCTGTTTTGTGGCCTCCACGAACTATTCTCCTTAGCCGAGTCAGTTTTGTGTTTTTTTGTCTGTATCACATCGGGTTTATGCTCGAGGAGCATTGTTTTTGTTGCCGCAGGCGTAGTTATTCCGGATACCGCCCCGGAGCATATCGAGGACTACCTCACGTGAGGGGCTGCGGCCCCACCGCCGTCGCCTCCGTGGCGCGCTCCCGCGGCCCCGCGCGGAGCGGTACCCGGCGCTCGCCTCGTCTCTGGTGAGCGTGTTGTCTCGGTGATAAAAGAGGACAGACTCCGCCAGAAATCACTGTCTTGTCTATCACATCGCAGGTGTTTTATCCTTTGTTCTCCTCCCCAGGCTGACGCTCGCTGCCTGGGCCTAGCCCCTCCCTCCCCCCCTCCCAGGGGATAGCGCTGACGATCGCGATGGGTGGGGAGGAGGGCAGGAGCACGGCCTAGGGGGAGGGAGCGAGGAACGGAGGGAGGAACGGGGGAAGGAGGGGGAGGATTTGGGGAGGGACAGAGAGTAGTGTTGGGAATGTCGATGGAGGAGGCAGGATGGAGGGAGGCGGAAGGAGGCAGGAGGGGGGTGGAAGGAGGGATGATACGCAAGGCGATGAGGACGATGAGGAAGGCTAGTCGAGAGGAGAAGAAAGAAAAGGAGGAGGAGGAGGAGGAACAGCAGCACGGAAAAGGAGGATGAGGAGGGGGAGGAGGAGGAGGAGGAGGAGGAGGAGGAGGAGGAGGAGGAGGGTCATGAGGATATTCGAACAGGTTTTAGGACATCATTGTGATGATTATGGAGATGGCGCTGAGGGGATGTTGAGAAGCAGTGATGAGGATCACGGTGATTCGGAGAATGGACGAGGAAGTCGAGGAGGATGAGGATGATGCTGGGGCAGGCTCATGAGGATGAGGATGCTGAGGAGGAGGAGGAGGAGGAGGAGGAGGAGGAGGAGGAGGAGGAGGAGGAGGAGGAGGAGGAGGAGGAGGAGGAGGAGGAGGAGTGGTGGTTGGTAAAATAGCATAACCATATATGTATCATGCACATGCTGCCTAGATAGGGTATCGTGAACTTGCGCGTCATAACTCTCGGATTGGCAGGATCCAGGGAGACAAGGTGTTAGAGAGAAAGAGAAAGAGAAAGAGACAGAGAGAACAAAAAAATATCCCGGCAAAGCAACCTAACAGCGATGTGTAGGAGCATATGTAGAAGCATTCCCCTTAAGATTCCGATGAGAATCCAGTTGTAGAATTCTGCTGTTCTCGCAGTCGTAGTCGCATTCGCGATGACAGTCGCAGCGGCAACGGCAGTCGCAGTCACAGCCTCAGCCTCAGCCTGCCTCAGCCTCAGCCTCAGCCTGCCTCAGCCTCAGCCTCAGCCTGCTTCAGCCTCAGCCTCAGTCTGCCTTCAGCCTCGGCCTCAGCCTCAGCCTGCCTCAGCCTCAGCCTGCATCAGCCTCAGCCTCAGCCTCAGCCTGCCTCAGCATCAGCCTGCCTCAGCCTCAGCCTCAGCCTGCCTCAGCCTCAGCCTCAGTCTGCTTCAGCCTCAGCCTCAGTCTGCCTTCAGCCTCGGCCTCAGCCTCAGCCTGCCTCAGCCTCAGCCTGCCTCGGCCGCAGCATCAGCCTGCCTCAGCATTCAAAATGTGGCCCAGGAATGGAGTTTTGGGAACTAGAAGAACACGAGGTGGCCTACAGTTGGCTCCGGGCATTCAAAATCATGCCCAGGAATGGAGTTCTGGGAACTTGAAGAGCACGAAGTGGCCTACAGTTGGCTCCGGGCATTCAAAATGTGGCCCGGGAATGGAGTTCTGGGAATTCGAAGAGCACGAAGTGGCCTACAGTTGGCTCCGGGCATCCAAAATGTGGCCCGGGAATGGAGTTCTGGGAACTCGAAGAGCACGAAGTGGCCTACAGTTGGCTCCGGGCATCCAAAATGTGGCCCGGGAATGGAGTTCTGGGAAGTCGAAGAGCACGAAGTGGCCTACAGTTGGCTCCGGGCATTCAAAATGTACGCCGGGAATGGAGTTCTAGCAGCGCCAAGAGCGATTTTGCGAGGATGTCCAAGCGATTTGGGCTTCGACGGCAGCCGCCCCGGGTCCCGCCCCGACCCCCCTGAGGAGTCATGATGCTCTCTTTTGACCCCACTAGAAACCTATCAGTCTTCGCTGTTAGGTAAAAATTATCCCGGCAAAGCAACCTAACAGCGATGTGTAGAAGCATATCTGAAAGCATTCCCCTTAAGATTCAGATGAAAATCCAGTTATAGAATTCTGCTGTTCTCGCAGTCGTAGTCGCATTCGCGATGACAGTAGCAGCGGCAACGGCAGTCGCAGTCACAGCCTCAACCTCAGCCTCCTCAGCCTGCATCAGCCTCAGCCTCAGCCTCAGCCTGCCTCAGCATCAGCCTGCCTCAGCCTCAGCCTCAGCCTGCCTCAGCCTCAACCTCAGTCTGCTTCAGCCTCAGCCTCAGTCTGCCTTCAGCCTCGGCCTCAGCCTCAGCCTGCCTCAGCCTCAGCCTGCCTCGGCCGCAGCATCAGCCTGCCTCAGCATTCAAAATGTGGCCCAGGAATGGAGTTCTGGGAACTAGAAGAACACGAAGTGGCCTACAGTTGGCTCCGGGCATTCAAAATGTGGCCCAGGAATGGAGTTCTGGGAACTTGAAGAGCACGAAGTGGCCTACAGTTGGCTCCGGGCATCCAAAATGTGGCCCGGGAATGGAGTTCTGGGAAGTCGAAGAGCACGAAGTGGCCTACATTTGGCTCCGGGCATCCAAAATGTGGCCCGGGAATGGAGTTCTGGGAAGTCGAAGAGCACGAAGTGGCCTACAGTTGGCTCCGGGCATTCAGAATGTGGCCCGGGGTGACTGTTTGCGAAAAACGAGTGCGGCGGCAGCCGCGGCGGCAGCCGATCCGGGTCCCGCCCCGACCCCCCTGTGGAGTCATCTGCTGCTCTCTTTTGAGACCACTAGAAACCTATCAGCAAAAGCTGTTAGGTAACATGAAAGAAAACAAAAACGGGAAGGGGGAGGGGGGAAAGAGGGAGGGAGGGAGGGAGGGTGGGAGGGAGCAATGGAGACGTGGAGACTGCTGGAGGGCTGAGGAGAGAGCAGAGGCCGTGAGAAGGCCGACGGGACGCCGCGCGTCGCGAGCGCGTGCAGCACCAGCGCGCGCGGCGTCGGGGAGCGGACGGGCCGAGCGGGCACGCCACACGCTTTTGTGTGGTCTGCGGCTCGCGGCAAGCCCTGCCACCGTGCCCGCCCAGCATCCCGGAAGGCGAGAGGGGAGAGAAGGGCGGGAGAAGGACGATGCGAGGCGGAGGAGGAGGAGGAGGAGGAGGAGGAGGAGGAGGAGGAGGAGAAGGAGCAGGAGGAGGAGTAACAGAAGGAGGAGGAGGAGGAGGAGGAGGAGGAGGAGGAGGAGGACGCGAAGGACATATTGCGAGGTCGGGGCGCTCTCGAGCGGCTCTGGGACCTTCTTTCGAGCGGCCCCGATGCGTGCTCTGGCAGCCCAATCTCGCCGATACATCGTGTCCCGAGGTCCGAGAGGGAGCCGTGGTACGTGACACGCTCTTCCGCGTCGTGTCGGCTCGCAGAGTGCCTGCTCGCAGACGTCCGAAAAACCCAAATGTCCGCATCGATGTAGTACATCGTAAGCCCCCATGGCGTGTCCAGGCCAATTTGCGAGTAGTTACTGTGCGAGTAGTGGAACGCGCTTCTCTATTCCTCCACTTATCTTCTTTCCCCCTCCTCCCCCTCCTCCCCGTTCAACGCAAAGGGGCCCATTGAGGGCCTTGCGGGTGGCCTCTCGTGCCGCCCTTGGGCCGTCCTGGAGCCCTCTTGCACCGCCCTTCCCACAACACCGGGAGCACAATGACTCGGTCACCGTCGGGACCTGCCGGGGGTCCTCTTCGGGGCCTCTTCGGGGCCGTCTTGAGGCCATCTTCGGCCGTCTTGGGGCCAGCCTTGGCCTCTCTTGGGGCCCTCGTCGGCCGGCCTGGAGGCATCTCGGGCCATCCTGGCGGCCTTGGTGGCCTGCCGGAGCATCTTCGGAAGCCATGCTGGGCCTCTTGGACACGCTCTGGAGATCCCCAGTGAAGCGTCGGGGCGCCCAGGGGCACTCGGGAGAGGGGGGGATCGGTGCTCGCGGCACTCCGCCACGAGAGGAAGGGGTCTCTCGGAGGATGCAGAGACCCTACCGGACAGTCGAATGGGGGAGATGCGACACCAACACCACCAGGGGGCACTCAACAAGGAGGTCCACGATGCCTCCCTGAGCTGGAGGCTTGGGATGTCTCGAGCGAGAGGGGGGGGGGGGAGACCCCCCTTGCTCCTCGCATCTCCTCGCCCTGATGGTGTTGGTGTCGCCTTTCCTTGTTCCCAGACAGCACTCTTCATCCTACCACGTCTCATCGTGCCCAGGGGCACGCGGGAGATACAGCCGACAGACACTGGTTGAAAAAGGAGGATGCATAGCAGGTTCGTGCCGCATTCACGCGGAGGTGGCCCCGGCGCGGTCGTTCAAGGTTGAACGCCGCCATCGGCCAGGATTTAACTGATATCGATCGACCTGCGCTATCGGAAAGCTACGATCGTTCAAGGTTGAGCGATCCGTGCGTTGTCAGAAACCAACGCCGACGTCATATCGACGCGAGGCTGCTGTAAGAGGCTGGAGGCGGAGGGGGGGAGAGACGCCTTCCTCAGGAACACCACAGCGTGCTGCGAACTCGTTTGCTAGGCTGGGGACATTTAATGAATCTTGCAACCTAATGCGTCCCCACTCTGCAGCGCGCGGCGCTCGCCGGCGAGCGGAGGAAGCTGGCTTCTCAGGACCACCCGTCCAATAACCAGTGAACACCTCCTCCTGCTCCTCCTCCTCCTCCTCATCCTCCTCCTCCTCCTCCTCCTCCTTCTCCTCCTCCCCCTCCCCCTCCTTCTCATCCTCCTCCCCCTCCTCCTCCTCTTTCTCCTCCGCCTCCTCCTCCTCCTCCCCCTCCTCTTCCTCCTCCTCCACCTCCTCCTCCTCCTCCTCCTCCTCCTCCTCCTCCTCCTCCTCCTCCTCCTCGTCCTCCTCCTCCTCCTCCTCCTCCTCCTCCTCCTCCTCCTGGGGTCTTCGGGGCCCCGGGAAGCCCCGCCTCCCGATGCCTCCGGACGCCCCAGCTGCAGCAGGTTCCTCCTCCTCCCGCCGGGAGCAGGCCCAGCTTCGTCCGCCCCCGAGGTGCTCCTCGCGCAGCGGGCCCTGGAGCCGTGCCGTCGCCTCGGCGGGCGCGCCGCATACAGCCCCCCCCCAGGGCGCCTGAGGGCGCGGGCCTCCTCGCCGCCCCCGCAGGACTCCAGCTGTGAGCCTGCCCCTCCTCCCTCTCCTCCACCGCTCTCGCCTCCTCCTCCTCCTCCTCCTCCTCCTCCTCCTCCTCCTCATCATCATCATCATCATCATCATCATCCTCCTCCTCCCCTCCTCCTCCTCCTCCTCCTCCTCCTCCTCCTCCTCCTCCTCCCCCTCCTCCCCCTCCTCCCCCTCCTCCCCCGCCTCATCCTGTTCCTCCGGCTCCTCCTCCGCCTCCTTCTCCTCCTCGTTCTGCGCCCCCCTCCTCCTGCTTCCTCGGGGGCCGGTGGCGGGCCTTCAGGCGCCCGGGGACAGCTTGCGCGCCCCCCGCGGCGTCCGCATCCCGCGCTTCGAGGCGCGCGAGGCACGCGCACGTCGGTGGGGAAAGCATCGCTCACTGCGGCCTCCTTCTGCTGCCCACGAGGGGGAGGAGGAGAAGGATGAGGACGATGATGAGGAGGAGGGATGTCGAGGTGGCGTTGGGATAGGTAATACATAGGAGGGCGGGGGAGCGCCGGTTGGATGGTTATTGCCTGCTTGTACGGGTGGGCGCCGGGCATCGGCGCTGTGGACGCAACGGTGTCCGTTCCAGTGCTGGCGCGGCAGGGGGAAAAGGGGGGAAGAGGGGGAATGGGTGGAGGAGGGGAGGAGGAGGAGGAGGAGGAGGAAGAGGAGGAGGAGGAGGAGGAGGACGAAAACGAGGAGGAGGAGGAGGAGGAGGAGTCGAGGAGGAGGAGGGGGAGACGAGGAGGAAGAGGAATAATAATAATAATATTAATAATAATACTACTACTAATAATAGTATTACTAATAATAATAAGAAGAAAATGAGAAGATGATGAGGACCCTCTCTCTCTCTCTCTCCTTCTCCCACTCTTTTTTGTTCGTTTTCTCTCTTTCTCTCTGTCTCTCTCTTTCTCTCTCTCTCTCTCTTTCTCCGTAGCCATTTTGGCTCAAGGTCCGTAGCATCGGCTCAGGGACCTCGGCATTGTGGCGTGAGGGAATTGCGTGGCTCGTAACGTACTGAGAGGCTCACTCTCGCGCAAGTCACAGTCATTACTCGCTCTCCAGTTCTCTGTGCGATCCTCGCGAGCGGATGGCACTTCGCCCTTCTAGTGGACATGCTGCCAGTCGCCAAGCGAAAGCGCAACAATGGTATTGCAAGTGGTGCGTCAATCCAAGAGACGGCACCAGATGGTGGAACCATGCAAATAAGCCGTCCTGCAGCATCTGCGGTGCGGCAAAGGGCGCGGCGTTTGCTGGCCCAAGAGTTCTGCCAAACGGAAGTCCGTCACACCGTGCCCCCAGTCTCGTTGAGGAGAGGGGGCAGCAGGCGGACAGGGTCAAACTCGAGCAGCAGCAGAGGGCTCTCGCAGCAAAGGACAAGGAGATCGAGAGGCTTCGGAGTCTCGCAGGCGGTGGAAAGGGGGGGCGGGTCGGCTCAAGCGCAGGCTCCCCGGTCCGACGCCGCCGCCGCCTCCGATGCCGACAAGGCCAGGCTCAGCGAGATCGGCGGAGGCATTCGAGCGATCGGTAGATCGAAGGGCCCGCTGCTCCTCAAGTGCAAGGCCGAGATGGTCATTGAGCACGACGCGCGCAAGGAGCGCATCATGCGTGACAAGCTAGTAGCCGTGCAGTTACACCAGCTGGTCAACCGTTGCCAGGCCTTGGAGAAAAAAACGAGATCGGCAGTCCGTACATGTCCAGTCGATTGAGCAGAAAATCCACGACCTCCAGGTGCAGCTAACTGAGGCAAAGGACGCGTTGTCGGCCACGGCGTCTGGGCTGGTGGAGGCCGCGGAGCAGCGCAGGAAAGCGGCAATGTCGGCCCCACGGCCAGGGAGCACCGATGGGCCTCCGACTCTGCGTACCGTCATCTCGGGCCTCGACATGTCGACCGAGGAGGTGGGCAGGATGCTCGAGAGTCTCGGCGCCGAGCAGAGCATGCGGAACGACGTCTTTGGCATTTTCGATCGGCTTCGCGCGCTTGACAAGGCATCAGCTGAGCGCCGAGCTCGTGAAGCAGGTGGGTCAGGCGCTGCTGCTGCTGGGGGCGCTGGTGGTGGCGCTCCTGAGGCTGCTGCTTCAGATGGTTCCGCTGAGAGTGCGCCCGTCCCCATGGACTCTGATGACTTACCTGACCTCCAGGCCTTCTGCAAGGAAGCCTTCGGCGCGGACCCGCCTGAGGACGGGGGCCAGCTCAGATCGGCCATCGAACGTCTCGGCGGAGCAGTTGGAGCACGATCCAAGAATCAGCGTGTATCAGCATAGCGCCCGAGAATCTGTGCTGTCGTCACTGTTGGCACGCACTGCTCACCCCACTAGCTCGAGGCATGTCAGCGCAGCCAGGCGGGCATCGTGGGGCAGGGGGTGCCGACCTTCAGTGGCATTGACAGTCGTGGCTCGGGTGCCGTCGTCACTGTTGGCGCGCGCTGCTCGCCCCACTCGCTCGCCGCATGCCAGTGCTGCCAGACGGGCATCGCGGGGCAGAGGGCACCGACCTTCAATGGTATCGACAGCCGTGGCTCGGGTGCTGGTCTGCCTGATCGCCGCGCTCCAGTTTTCTCAGAGCGTGGTAACTGATTATGTGGATGAGGGATTTCGGCGTCTGGTCAGTCGCGCGCCCGCTTTCCAGCGCTACCCAGGTTCAGGTCAGAAGTTCGGCGATTTGGAATCCCAGGGGGGCCCCGAGGATTCAAGCCGCACATTGGACGAAGCAAGCCGTGATGCGATGAACCTCGGGAGCCAGGCTAAAAGTAAGTATGTTCGTGCAAGCTCAGTCTGCGCGATCAACGCGTCGTCGCACGGGCCGTTGGTCAAGCGGCTGAGCGTTCCAGATTACAGTTGCGGGGTTGTGTTGGTCCAAGAGCACCATTGTGACGCGACGAGGCTCCCCGACGTTCAACGCAGATGCAAACGCGCGAATAGGTGTGGTACGTGGGCTCTGTCTGTCTCTACGGGTCGCGGGGGCACAGCTGGTGGGATTGCGGTTCTTGCCCCCGAACCCGTGCTGTTGTCGACCCCCCCCCATGCTCACGGATCCCATCTTATACCCTGGGCGAGCGGTGGCGGCCAAGGCCCACTGGGCCATGGCAAACGGGGTGCGGCTTGCATCTCGGAGTACCTTTTCGTCGACATCGGATTCGCATGTGAGAATTTGAAGTTGCTGACCGCGATCACCAAGTACACCGCTAAGTTGAACGCGGCAGGCCAGGAGTGGATCAAAGATGCTGGCTGGAACGTGGACCCAGACTGTGGCATCGATGATTGGTTCGTCGGTTTGAAGGACATCCGCCGTTGCAGCATCGAGCCCGCGCGTATCCACGCAGCGCCCGGTGCGCATCGTGATTGGTCTTATGCTTCTGAAGGCTTTTCTCATCGTATTAGTGCCCCGTCGGCGGACAGCGCTGCGGACGCGTTCCCGCACTTGCAAGTGGTGGCTGTGGTGTCGGGCAAGCTGCGTGCGATGTGTTGTCGCGTGGTTGTTGAGCCCAAGCCGCTCCCAGCGGAGCCGCCTGTTGGGTGTTCGCTTTTTCCGCCTGTGCGTGAATGGCTGCAGGTGCAGCAGCGGCTTCGCGATGCTGGTTCGACCCAGGGCCTGGCAGAATGCTGGGATGAGGCGCCGATTGGCTTGGGGGCCGAGCTGCTCGATAGACGCGGAGTTCGTGCTGAAGCTGAGCGCCAGCAACGCCACGGCAATGCTGGGCCCCCGCAGTACAAGTGGCAGCAGCTCAAGGCGTCGGAGCCAAACCAGCCCAAGTCGCTCACGGCATGGCGGTCGTTCGATCGATGGCTGCGTCACCTGCGCAGCGTGCGTGCGAAGCTCAAGTCGCGCGTGGATCAGCTTAACGGTGTTTTCGAGCATTCGCCCGAGGCTGAGGCCACCCTGATGTGTATGAGTCGGTTGGTACATGACCTGTTTGGATGTTTTAAGAAAGTTCGACGCGGCAGGAGGATCCGCGACTTTCTCCAAGCAGACGCACGTGACTTCTGCGAAGACCCTATTGCCAGTTTCTGCCGCGTCGATTTCGGCGTGGAAGTGCAGAGGTTCATCGACATGGCTGAGGAGCGCATCGCCGAGGGGATGGGCGAGTCTTCGCCCAGTTGGGCCAGGTGGGCCCAAGAGGCGTTCGCCAAGGGAGCTGGCAAGGCGCGCCGATGCTCCGAGATCCGTGAGCTGCAGGAGGTAGCCCATGCTAGGGGTGAGGCGTGCCAGCCGTTCGAGCACGTGGACGAGTGTGTAGATGAGTGGCAGTCTATTTGGAATCTGCATGGCTGCTCAGAGGCGCCGCTGCCCGCCGACGCCCACGAGCGGCCGTTGCTCGAGCCCTTCTCGGCCCAGCGGATTCGCGAGGTCTGCGAGGCTTCAAATCGAAGGCGCTGGGCCAGGTGAAGCTTCACCCGCGCTCGCACGACGCGTGCTCCAACGTGGCGCTCCAGACGCTCTCGCTGCTGTGCGCCACCTGTGAGCGCCTTCTTTGCTGGCCTTGCGACAGGGTGCAGTCTCGGCTGATTAGGCTGAGCAAGCCCTCTGGAGACCATCGCCCGATTGCGCTTTTGAGAACTTTAGTTCGCATTTGGGGCAGGCTTCGGCGGCCGATCTCGCGAGATTGGGAAGCTCGGAATCGGCGCCCCGCCTTTTGGGGTAGCGGGCCCGCCAGGAGCTCTTCCGACGCTGCCTTCGCTCATAATGTGGAGGCGGAGGTTGCTGGAGATGTGGGGGAGTTTTCGGTGTCGGTTCTTGTTGATATGCACGAGTGCTATGAGTGCATTGTAGCCAAGTTGCTCGAAGAAGCCCGTGCCCTCCAGTATCCTTTCGAATGCTTTGCATGGTCTTGTGTTCTTACCGCTGTCCCAGGGTCGTCCAGGCGTTCGGCCTGTCCGTGGTCACTAACCAAGGGATTCTGGCTGGGTGTAGTCACGCCAACCCGATGGTGCATCCTCTCTTGCACCGAGTGGTGGCTAGGTGTATCGTTGTTGTCTATCCCATCATTCCGCGAATCCTCATGGACGATGCAAGTTTTCAGTGGATAGGTAGTGATTTACAGCAGTCAGGGCCTCTGATGGCTGCAGTCCAGTGGTTTTCCCGCAAGGCCTACCGTTGCGGCCTTATTCTACAGGTTGCCAAAAGCGGGTTCGTTGCCTCGACGGCCTGTGCCGCGGCCAAGATCGGCTCGACGGCCAAAATCATTCGGTTGGAAAGCCATCGGCACTTGCGGAAGCTGGGCCACGAGTTTTTTTTTCCAGGCCGCCCACTGCGAGTACAGGAGCGCAGTCGGTTTAAGGGGGTGCAGTCTCGCAAGCGTAAGTTGCTCGCTAAGGTCGCCGCCCTTTGGCGAACCGGTGCGTTCCCTGCGGGTGCTCACGGCGCGGGCGTGTCTGGAGTCACTGACAGCACCCTCATGGCCTTGCGCACGCT